TATGTTGTAGTGTGGTTTATGTTGTAGTATGGTTTATGTTGTAGTATATGTTGTAGTATGGTTTATGTTGTTGTGTGGTTTATGTTGTAGTGTGGTTTATGTTGTAGTTGTAGCTACCTGACCCCTAAAACGCACAATTAAACACCAAGCGTGGGTTTATAGCTGATATAGATTCAGAAATATCAACAGTTAAAAATTTTTATGGTCGCCATTTTGAAATTCAACATGGCCTCAGTTGTAGCTATTTGAAACCTGAATTATTGCATTCCTTGACAGTGTGCCAAGTCGGTGCTTGTATCACAAAATGCACAATAGGTTTGCTATGCCGCTGGACTATCAGCAGGGATATTTAACAATAATATGGCTGATTTTTGCTTTTTGGAATTGGGAGTGATTTTTGTTAAACTAGCCAGATATACATTGTTTTGACAATCATGGATTTTCTCGCCTCTTCAACAATTTAAAACATATATTTTACCAGAGTCATAAGACACATTGTTAAATATATATTTCTATTCATTCTTCAAAATGTTATTCTCTTAACCCAGTTGATCCTCGATATTATTACCGATACAATCTTATCTACATTTCATTTTGACAACTGAACAAAATTCCCCGTCAATAGTACAGCCTCTGCCATTTTGCAGCTTTTGAGTTGACTGAGTTGTGTGTAATTGTATTTTGCTCGTGTTTGATTCCTTCTCAATCATCATTCCGAGTGCAACCATTTACCTTGACCTCTTTCACATGCTCGTTCTGCACTGAAATAGCTCTAGATTTACAAGATTTGGGCATGACAATGCTTTTGTTATCACAAATAACACTGCATTGTACCAGTTTCTCAAAATATAGATCTAAATCAGCATCATATACAGAACACTGGGGAATTTTTTAACAAAGATAAATTTTGATAATGAACCTAGTGGCTGATTGCTTTGAGAGAGTCTAGACGAAAGTCTAGAAAAATACTATTATATATATATGATATCCAATACAATAATATATATATATATATATATAAACCAGGGTTGTCTTCAATTTTTAGTAAATTGAAACACTTTTAATCCATTTTCGAGAGAACAAGTTATTATTTAATCCATATTTATGTACATTATCTTAGCATACTTTCAGCTCAATAGCTTCTTCAGAGCATTTCGCCATCATGCAATGATTTGTGCTCCATAAGCGACCGTTCGTCATTAATTAGTTATCTATGTTTGATTGTTTACATTTACAACCTTATTGAAGAGATTTAAAAATCTAAAAATGCAGAATCCTTTCCAGGATACAGGAAAAAACCGAACTGGCGCCTCAAATCTTTAATACTGAGATGAACGATTTTGACACCATTTTGTAGTCAATTCACCAAGTTGTGAACCCCACATAAAAGAACTTCTATGCGATTATAGAAGAATGACACGACGTTTATCTGGATCAAGTGACAGTAATAAATAGGTAAAAAGTAAGTCTCGTGATAGATCTTAACAGGATGTTTGTTTTGAAATTTTATATTAATCCGATTTCAAATTGAATACATCCCCACTAAACAGGGCACTGAGATGGCTCAGTGAGTTAGACGCTTGTTCTCTAACCTGAAGATCCCGGGTTCAATCTTGGCATAGGTCGAGATAAAACCTTTGGTATTTTCAAACCGGTTTCCCCCTGTAAGTAATGCAGATAAGAGAAACTGACATGGAAAAAGCGTCTAGTTGTTCGAATGGGGCAATATACCGTGTAATGCAGACTGCTCTATTGTTTTTTTTTAATTTTTTTTTTAAGTATAAGAAGGAAGATATCTCTGTATCAAATTTTCTTCGCTTTATACATTTAACACCCACATAATGTTATATTTGTGAAGTGGCCATAATATTAATATACTTTTTAAAATTAAACTAATGGTTTTAGAGATAGTGAGATTTTAGTGGTGTTCGTGTCAGTAGTATTTATTGGTAACTTGTCTCTCACATGAACACGTTTCTGAAATCTCTCTAATCTATTTTATGATAAATCCTTTCTACAACCAATTCAGAGATTTATTGAAATCATACCCCTACGATTACAGACTGTGGTACAGGTAGAGGACACACAACAGATAATAAATAGAGAGAAGACCTGTTCTGAATCAAGTTTCAATTTGTCCATATTTTGATCTATGTTGTGAAGGGATTCGGGAACCCTGTTTATATAATGGTACAAAGATTCTTCTAAACTTCTGTGAAATTTTGTCTTTCTATCACATTCAGAAGAGTGGATACGAGAACTGAAATGACTGACACGAACAAGGACATGATACGTTACAATTTACAAATTGTCTGTTTCTCTCATATTTTGGCTTTTGCAAATTGGTACAAACCAACCTGGACTTACTTTTACCGAATCGAGGGCGATAACATATTTAGAGATAATATGTATTATCGTTTACTACAGTAATTGTTTGTTTTATTTTAGGTTTATCACAGACCACTGAGAGGTTTCATTACTTTATAACTATAAACAATCAGTAATCATGGATTTAAAATGGTTAAAGACGATGATAATATTGAGTGTTGGACTGTGTTTAGTTTTTACATTTATAGGTAAATATATTTATGTTTTTTTTTATTTCAGGTTTATTCAACTGAGAAGTTGTTTTAGTGTATAGAAATTAATTTTTCAATCTTAAACTGTTTATCTTTTACCCTTTACTGTAACCGAAAAACTGACAAATAATTAAAAATCTGTTTAGAAAGGATTAAAATAATCTCAATATTTAAGATCATTTAACCACTGTGAAATAATTAGACATTTCGTTTTTATATTACAGAAGCGCAGCCATCTATAACTATAAATGGTAGTACAGCTACACCAAGAACATTTCAAGTTAATGATAATATGACGATTAAGTGTACAATACCTTCAAATTATACGTCTGGCTCCAATCTTCGTGTTTATAAAGGTTCTTCTGTTATCAGATACTTTGGGATTCCTTTGCACACTTGAACAATGACGAAGAAGATAAGTTGTAAAGATGATACCTATTTTAGATGTTATGGTAGATTGAATGGATCAAATTACTAATCAAACAGAATTGATGTCACAGTCGACTGTATGTTTTACTTCTTTATTCAAAAATACATAATTTTGTGTCAGAATTATCTCCTAGACGCTCTAAAACTAGAGATTTTATTCAGGTTGCAATATTACTATCACGTGACAAATCACTGTACAATATCAGAGATAATTAGTCAGGCAACAAAACAAACTGACAACAAAATCTACCAATCATTACCGACAAAATTTTCAGCTATACGGAAACTGTCGAAAATTGCCAAATGTACTCATGCTATTATTGCGAAAGTTGTGATCCCACAACTGTATTGATTCTATTAAACAATTGCTCTTAAATTTATGACAGTATAATTAAAGATTTTATAAACACTTTACTTAAGTTTAGAACAATAATTCTTTTAAAATTTTCAGGTGCCCCTCAGTGGGATGAAGATGTACAGGAACCAGTCATTTTCTCCTCATCACCGACTAATGATAAAAAAATTTACCTTAAGATAGTCGGCAATCCACAACCAACATATTCCATTCAGAAGTTCACATCTACAGGATTACAAGACCTGTCTCTAAATATAGATGTAATAAACGAAACTTACAGAATTAGATTGTTGTTTCGAAAATACACAGAAGATTCACATGGTGTATTTCAGATCGTAGCGAATAATCCAATGGGAACTTTTACTACAAACTTCACACTACGTGGTGGGTAGAATTTATTCGTCAAGAAGGTTTGATCTCAATTACTATAATTCCAGTATTGCGGTACTCGCTGCCCTTCAAATATGAAGATTGAATACGTTAAACTTGGTATTAACTCTAAAATACTCATATCATTTTTAGAGCATTTCTATATCAGTAAGAGGCTTGTTTGAATAGTTCTTATTTTACAGGGGAAACAGCACCACCGACAAATGTCCGAGCCTGGAGTAATACAACTAGATCGATAAATGTTGAATGGACTGCAGGAGAAATGTTTGAAACGGAAACAAACTATAATGTGTATTACAAAACAGAAGATACAGTATTTAGATGGTCCACACTTCTCGATATGGAGTTAACAGTAACGCATATATTGAAGTCTTTAGAACCGAGCACGACCTACTACATTATGGTTAGGGCATATCACACAAATTCCGGATCCAGTTCTTATTCTAAAATGACGCAGGCGACTACATTAGGTAAGTATATATGAAATATTAATCTATTTTGTAATAAACATATCAATATATTAAATATAATTTACAAAATACACCCTACTGAAACACCCAATACAGACACTATTCTCCTGGTTTACACTCACTATCCTTTAGAAACATTGTTTTCTACAGGTCCAATACTTATTAACATTAAAGGCCTTATCTCTAACCTGATAATCAGTTTCTAGTTTATCTACGTGATTAGTTAAATACCATTAATCTGAGTAGATATGGCTGCGGCAATATTACCCTCGACTTCTCGCCCACGAGATGTCGAGAGACGACAAGGTGAGGATAAAGGCGGGAAAGCGAGTTAAAAAAGGCGAGAAAGAGAAAAATGACGAGAAAGCGTGGTTAAAAAAGGCGAGAAAGAGAGAAAAAAGACGAGAAAGCGTGGAAAAGGGCGAGAAAGTGAGGAAAATGCGAGGAAAAAGACCAGAAAAAGACATAAAAGCGAGAGTAAAAAAGGCGAGAAGTCGATAAAGATGAATGAAAAAAAGTCGAGGAAAAAGGCTTGAAGGAAACTTGATGTGAGTGTTTGTAATCGCCCAAGTATCAAAAATATTTGACGAGTTATTGCCCTTGTTCTTGGAAACACATTCAATTTTTCGCTTGTAAACGCGTTAGAAGGCACAATTCTCGACTGATTGTGACGAAACTTGGTGAAATTGAAGATGTTTTTAAGATTGAGGTCATTAACTCATATCAAATAGTTTTCAATTTTTTATTTTCAGTAGGGTTCATCTATTGGTAATTACAAATACTCACGCCACATTTCACCAAAATAAACAATTTCAACAAATTTTGTCAAAATCTGTCGACAATTGTGCCTTTTAAAGTGTTTACGAGCTGGAAATGTAACGCGTTTTCAAGAACAAGGGCAATAACTCATACTAAATATTTTTCGTTTTTTGTAATTTTCGATAGGGCTTTTTCCTGGCCTTTTTTACCCTCGCATTCACGTAGGCGAGAAGTCGAGAGTAGATATGGCCGTATAAATCTGTCTACTAGTATTGGTGACTCACCTCAAACTAAACCTCTTATCTACCAACTAGTTAAACTAACATCATCATCAATATAACACAATATATAACTTATCTTTCTACAGATCCTGATGACTCACCTCAAACTAAACCTCCTATCTACCAACTAGTTAAACTAACATCATCATCAATATAACACAATATATAACTTATCTTTCTACAGATCCTGGTGACTCACCTCAAACTAAACCTCCTATCTACCAACTAGTTAAACTAACATCATCATCAATATAACATAATATATAACTTATCTTTCTACAGGTCCTGGTGACTCACCTCAAACTAAACCTCTTAT